CTCTCTCTCTCTCTCTCTCTCTCTCTCTCTCTCTCTCTCTCTCTCTCTCTCTCTCTCTCTCTCTCTCTCTCTCTCTCTCTCTCTGTGTGTGCCTCCCCCCCCCCCTCCTGCGTGTGTGTGTATATATTTTGCCACATATTTATGTATATGCAGACTTTTGATAGTTACATGGGAGAAGTAGGTTAGGCGGTGGTTTGCAGCAACGAAACACTTCCTGAAGTTTCATAGGGTTCAGAAATGGCTGAGCATCTGTCCCTTAGAAGTATGTCTCTTGAGGAGCTCATGTGCTTCTGCCAGAGAAGCATGGCTCTCGACAGGTTGCTGTGCTTGTGGAGATGGTCTCCTTGGCTGCTGTTAGAGACATTGTCATGACCCGTAGGTGTTGGTGAAGGAGTTTTATGGCCTCCTCATGGCAGTTGTCAGTCTGACAAGATTGGCATAAGATCGACAGGGTGGAGCTTCTCGGGGAAGACTTAGAGGGCGTTCATTTTGTCAGTTTGAACTTCGAATCTACCAGGATGTTCCCCCATGCTGTCTGCTGTGGTGTTGGCTAGCGCTTGCTAGTGGACACTGGACATAGGGAGTGTGAGCCTTTGTCATTTTTGCACCCTTCCCAGCATTGCTTCTCCTGCTATTGGGTGTAGGAGAGCGAGAGAGAGCCTTTGTGAAGTCCTCGCCTTTTGCATTGCATCGTCTCGCACGCTTCCCAGCATTGCTTCTCTGCTATTGGGTGTAGGAGAGTGAGAGAGGCTCTTTGCCAAGTCTGCACCTTTTGCATTGCATCGTCTCGCAAAGGCTAAGAAGGTATATTGTCAGTGGCAGCGGTGAAATTGTCCAAAAAAACCTGCTTGAAAATTGAGATCCCAAATTTCAAATTTGCCCCTCATTAGTTGTTTAGGGTCTAGAGGACCTCTGACATCGCAGCATGCTTGCTGTCGAACTCCATATTTCCAATGAGCTTATATAACCTTATTCATATTTCATATGGAGGCTGCTGGCCATTGAATAAAACCATGTGGTACAGGATGGGTCCTATCCGTGAGCCGATTATCTGGTTCTGAAATATATGGAGGCTGCTGGCCATTTAATAAAACCATGTGGTACAGGATGGGTCCTATCCGTGAGCCGATTATCTGGTTCTGGTTGCTCCGCTTGAATGCTGAGTAGTGTTCCATCCAGCCGCAAGTTGCTTCCTTTTTTTTTTTTTTTTTTTTTTTTTTTTTTTTTTTTTTTTTCTCC